AAAAAAAAAAAACGGGTCAGAAACACACAAAGAAAACACACTCGTCCACCGACAGTTGGCACATATTAAACACTCGTCTCGTTTCACAAACACAGACATGATTAAAGACAAACAGCTGAAGCAGAGCACAACAAAGTTAACGAGACACTATTTAACAAACTCAACGGCAAAAGCTTTACCAGAACAAAGGGCCATGACATCGAGGATAACTTTTATATAACACAATACACACAGTAGGTAGGTTTAACTTACACTGCTGGGATGTGGTCGTTTTAAAAAGATGAGTGTAATGTTTGGTTTACGATGTCTGACCGTTCTGTTTGGAGTGCGTTACTTTTATTATTTGTTTCTTCACACTATTTATCAAATCTGAAGCTGTGAGAGCTTCAAAAACTAAAGGGAGGGAAGAATTAATTCAGGAATTCAGTCTGAAACACTGCGTTCACCTTTACTGCGCTTTTCATTAGCTTTCAGTCTGAAGTCATCTCAACTTTCTCACCAAACCTTTGCTTCCTGAACGGCCGAAGCCTAAAATAAACAATGAAGTCCCACTCACCGATGATGGCCTCCCACTTCCCGTTGGCCTGCGTGACCTCGTAGGCACAGCGCATCTCGCTGAAGGACACGCCGCCGATGATGAAGACCATGACCCGCGGACCGGTGCGGTACTCTCCAGGTGTCTTGTTCTTGTGCCAGTGTCCATATCGAGCACTGCCACGGAAGGAGAAACAGTTCTCGTTGTTACAGTTTGTCTTGTTTTTGTACCTGCCATAACTTCATATGAAGAAATCATGCTGTCCTGTACCACGAAGACGACTTTTAAACTCGTTTTATAGGACCCGAGAATTAATTCTTTTTATCTGGACTTAARAAAATTACTGTTCATCCAGGTTTTTATGTCTTTAAGACAAACCTGCAGGTTCAGGTTCATCCAAACTCTTTGAAAGATAAAACTGGATGTCATCAGCATAACAATGAAATGTGTTATAAGTATTGATGGTATCACCCAAAAGAAGCCTATATAAAGAGATCTGGGCCAAGAGCAGAGCCATGGASAACACCAGAACTAACTCGAGGAAACGTTAACATGTTCAAGTTGGAATCTGTCAGATAAATATGACTTAGACCAAACTTACCTTTAAGAGTGGCAGTGGCAAGCATGGTTCTGCTAATCAGCTAATAGCTTAATAATGGAACAATATTTTTGTTTAGCTGACTTTTTTACTAACTTTGAAAACCAATTAGGTTCTGCTAAATTAAGGTTTTCCCAACTTAAAGTCTGCTAACCACTAACTAATAAACTAAGATCAATAGTTGTGTGCCAGTCCCAGCAGTATTCAGCTCCAAGGAACCACTGAAGTCTGATTATCCCAACGTTGTGCTCTTGACCATGTTATCATTAGTTTGCTTACCTTTTTCACTCATCACAGCATTCTGTAAATAACTTTTTCCTCTGAGTAAATTTTATAGTGCATGCAGTGGTTACATTATTTGTAGGTGACAATGACATTTWCACAGTAAAACTAAAAGCCAAGTCAATAGCCGTGTTTTCATCAACGTTTTTTAATGCGCATTTTGAAGTATCGCATCAGAAAAGGTGAATGGAAACGGCTCGATTCGAAAAAACTTCCTCTAATTCGCATAAAAGTTGATACGCTTGCTTGAGGTGGTTTTGGAGTTTTTTTCGAAAAAGAGTTAATGCGCAAAAGGAAAGATGGAAACACGTGGCAAATAAGTTTTGACGTAGTGAAGATTTACCTCACATGTTGATCAGCTGTTCCCGCTGTCTGAACGGTACCGGTACCAGAGCGAATACAGCTGGACCCTCCTCCCGCTGTCGGCGTATTCTAGTTATTCCCATAACGTGAAGAGAATCCCATTTCTTTCTCTACGTCTCCAGACAGCAGTAACATCACCAAAATTAGTTGATATGACAGAATAATTACTACTTTCCTGATAGTAGCAACACGTTCCTGATAACTTCTCACCATAGTCCTGAGATGCGTCATTTACTTCCTGTTTACTACACGCATGCGTTTGATGTCATTGATTCGCTTCAAGCCAGTTGAAGGAAACGCGTCTGATTCGCATTTCGTCGTTTTTTTTTTTTTCCTTTTTGCGAAACTTTTAAAATTTGCTCAAAATTTGAATTAAAATTGAATGGAAACATAGCTAACGACTCCATGACTAGTTGAGCCAGAGTTAGAAGGAAATTACAGGTCTTTCAGGTCTTTAAATGCAAAACAAGCAACTTCAGTAGCTGTTACGATTCCTCCTGTCTCACTGGTAGATTAAGTTGCGTGTCATCAGCATAATAAATAACTCAGTGTCATAAATCCTGACAATGTGGCCCAATAACAGGAAATTTAAATACAATTAGACCAAGAACAGAACCCTGAGGAACTCCAGAATTAACTGATACTTTTCAAAAACCCTTTAGCACATGCAGTAGTCTCATGAAACTGCTCTTCCTTGAACTTTAAAACTCAAACTCACATCTTTTCCCATAGAGACTGCTTCAGGTGCTGTCTGAAGTTTTTATGAACACTCAAACGTTTTTATTTTTATGGTTTCAGCCTTASATCCACACTAAAACGGATTCCACAGATAAAAAATCTGGAAACACCACCTTTGTGTTTTCATGTAGACAGTAAAAATGCAACCTTTTAAAAACAATGTTTTCATAGCAAGACTTGAGGATGTCACGTTGTTTCAGGTTTCACACCCGGTGTGTAACTTCATGCAGATGTTTGATGCCCTGTTTCCTGTTTTCGGTGTGTTTTCGTTGGGGCTTCGCAGCGCAGTGTTTTAGGTTGTTTTTGGTGTTTGTTTCCTAAAAGTCGTTTTACAAAAACAGTGGACTGTTTAAAATCCAAAGATAGTTTTATGAAAACGGTGTTTCCGTGTGGACAAGGCGTCAGTGTGTGATTAAGAGTACCTGACTGCAGTGGTGCTGAAAGAGGCAGAGGAGCGGGTGGAGATGTAAGGGTAGTGCTTAGTGTCCAGCTTGTCCTCGATAGCGTCCTGCAAAGAAACAAAAATAGACTGTTGTAAATAAATCCAATATGGGTCGATTATGTGACAATATTTGGGCCACTTTTCCCTGCAGTGTAAACATAGCTTTAGATTTCCTCAACAAACAAACCTCCATGATGTCTTTGATCAGGGGTGTCCAACGGGACAGCTGATAGGTCTGCTCGCTCACGCGCTCCTTCCTGTCCAGCTTCTTTCCTCTGCGCAGGGTGGACTGATGGATCAACATTAATTAGGTCAGTTTAGGGCTGCAACAACGAATCGATAAAATTGATAAAAATGATTGTTAAAAGCGTTGGCAACGAATTTCATTATCAATTCGTTATGTCGTGCGATTTTTGTGTCTCTTGCCATGTCGCGGAGCCGTTTACGTCACCCGCAGAGCGTTGTCAATGCTGCTGACCTAAATAAAGTTTAGGAAGAGAAAAACTCTACCTGTAAAGATCCGCCCTCTCTGAGACCCTCGAGTGAAAAGCAGAGACTTCGAACTTTAAACCAGTTTTTAATTTGTGTTGTTAGGCCACGTAGATCTGAAGAAAAGATAAAAGTATCTGCCACAATTAATTTTTTTTTAAAGACGGTCTGATTTGATGCGCGCCAAGTCGCGAGGAGGAAACACGTCCCGTGAGGGAAAAAAAAAAAACCTCAGTCCATCACTTGTTTCCTCCTCTTGGGCCAGAAATATAAAACACTCCAGTCTTTTTTTCTGACTGAGGCTCGAAGTTATTTGTTGAGCAGCAAAAAGGTTCAGGACGAAGGAAAAAAAAAAGACGTGAGCAGCAGGCATATTCATGTAATTAAGCGTTTTAATGATTTGGCCGATTAATCGACAGATTAATCGATTATTAAAATAATCGTTAGTTGCAGCACCAGGTCAGTTAATCATCTGTTCTTCTTTGCAGATCGGCTTCAGACAGGGTTGATTTAGCTCTTTTTAAGGTAAGAAAAACATCAAAAATACCCATTTAAAGTTATCAAACCCTGTTCTGTTCATTTCAATCATTTAATTATTGCAAAGTGTTCAGAATTTGCATCAATAAGCGCCTCGGTTTTTATTTATGACATGAAAAGTCTGCGTTAAGAACCAGGGGTCTCATTTATAAAGGATTGCGTGGAAACCATACTAAAAGTGAACGTACGGCCAAAAGGC